ATTGTTGTATTTTTCCAAACACTAGAAATATTCTCCTAGACGTGTGTAATTTATCCTCATTATCAGACTCCAAGCTCTCATCAGTCTCAGATTGTATACCAGTAGCTTGTTCTTATTCATCAGAAAACGCATTGTCGTAAAGCGATGGATCAATGTACTTTAATATCTGTATAGTTGATTGCAGAATTAAAAATTACAAAGCTGGCTACTGAAAACAAGTATCTATTACGAAAAATAACGAAGATATGTAATGCCGTCAAGGTGTTAAATATCGAAGTATTAACCACATAGAGTGTAAAATGTATGAACTAATTTATTGACACAATGTTTCTAACATATAACTAACACAAATAATGATTATACTATGATCAGCATGTGCTTTTAGCTGTATTAGACTATTAGAAGCATGAACGCTAAAATTACCAATAATGAACCGAATCAAAGGATTGCAAAAACGGTACAGTTGCATTAAGCGATATGTATATACAGATTGAACGAATTTAAAACGGATCATACAATTTAATATATGTCTGTTTGAACTGCATTTGAAATAGTGGACCAATATAAAATTTGGACAAAAATAAATCCATACCTGGGGATAGACATTTTATAAAATATCGTTCAACTATCTGTTCCGCAACAATGTTATTTGCGTAACAATGTTGCCAATTGCCGTGTAATAATCCGATTTGCGGATCTCTTTGAGAGTTATATCTTCTTCGTATCTTTAAATAAATCGGATATTTGCCTATATTTTTCATTGTATTTACCAATCTACTACACACAGACTAATAGCAAAAATAAACTTAATGATTTGTAGTTATTTCCTTTCTGTCCTGTAAATGTATTATGGTTAACACCTTAACAATAGTTGGCAACAACCACTCAAAGAAGGGCTTGTCTAAGGAAGCGATAAGTGGTTTGACAGCATAATTAAAATACGTAGATTTATTGTTAGCTTTCAATTTTTATGAATCAGAATCCAGCAGCCCGCTGAAGTATTGGATTTTTATAATATAATTATTTGACAACCTTTCTTGGTCGACCACCTACAGCGGAATTGAGCCGAAATACATAATATTTCGTATGTTCCGAATTTATTTCGTTCAATCTGTATAACATAACAGTGGTATAACATAGAGGCATTTTAAAGATTCTTCGGACAGCTAAAATGACTAACAATGAAGCAAGAAGAAGAGTTAATAAGAATAGAGAATGACTAAAACTTGTTAAATTTAGAAAAATATCTTATTTGGGTCATATATTGAGACGACATAAATAAAGCATAAGGCAGCTGATTATCAAGAAATAGAAGGTCGAATTTGTGTAGGGAGAAAACAAATTTGTTTGCAGGAAAACATTCAAAGTACACCGAAAGTCGAAACATCTTCTAAGTCTATAGCCTAAGTCTATTCTAAGCATATTTTAAACATAGAGTCTTTTGTTTCCTTTATTTTTCTCGATCCATTTTTCATCAGCACTTTCTTCCAGCAAGTTACCTACAATCGTCATTCCATTTCATCTCAAGTCTTCCTTTTTTGTCTTATACTCCCCTGATCGCTAATTTATTATCAACTTATTCCATGTCCATTACAGAGTATTTGTTTTTCCTATCCAAATCCTTCAGTTTCAGAACTTTACATATGAGGGGTTTATTAGGTTTTACGTACCTAATATAGATTAAATCTGTTTAATCATTTGCTATATTATCTGATCAAAATCAGTTTATGCCCTCGTATGGGTTGATTTATTTTAAAATATATTACAAAATAAACTTTTTAGTAGACCATAAACATTTTACAGACAGAAATTGCATATTATAACATATATTTTAAACTGATCGTTATTTTTAATAGGCAAATTCTAAAAACAGGTTTTTTAAGGACAAGCTGGTAAATTTTTTACATATTTTTTATCTCAAAAAAATAATTAATATGGTTAATATTATATTATT